TGTAGTGACTGTGGCAGTGGTGACATACAATCTTGTGGTTGCACCCTTGGTGCTTTATGGAAGCAAGTGATCATGTTAAGAGTAAAGTGGAAAGATGAGAAATCAGACTGAGCATCATGTCTTTGGAGATGTGCATATTTGGTGTGAGTGGATGGTAAAGTATGAAGGCAGCAGAGGGAAAAATTTTTATGTTAATCAAGGATGCACTCCTTAAAAAAACCCAACAACAAACCAACTACAACAAAAAAACCCACAAATACCCACAAACAAAAAAACCACCACAAAAATCCACGAACTCCAAGAAAAAACCAAACCCACATTTCTACCTGGAATAATGAGTCCTTCTTATTAGAGTAGGTTTTAAAATCTCACTTGTCACTCTAGCTCTTTTATTACACTAGCTTTTTAACTGAGTTATGTGACTATTGAGTAACTAATTAAAAAGTACCATGTGATCTCATTGGGAAAATATTTCTCTGTTCAGAGGAAGGCGGGTTTTAATTAAACCTCTTTTGATGAAATAGTTTTGTGAATGTAACAGTGACAGTACTTTGCTACTTTAATATTTCTTGAAGTAATAACGTGGAAAATTTGAAAATAAAAATAGAAGAAAATCCATCAGGGGGAGTAAATGAGATCTGAAACTTTGAATATTCTTTGAGTTCAGATTAATAAGTTCATTGCTATTTTAAACAAGCCACTAAAAAAAGTAGGTGCAATAAGAAGGTACTCAAAGCAGTGCTAGCGAATGTTCTGGAAGTTATTGGCTTTATGACAGAGACCAAATGAAGCTGTAGAGTGTAAAACAAAAAAATGCTTCAATGATATTAGTATGTTCTTGATTGTGATTAAGGGATATAGATTTATTCAGGTGGTATATTTTGATTTAAACGAGATCCTGCCCAGTCGTCTGCAGAAATGAGTCAATGGGTTTGTCTCTGGGGAAGAACAGGTAATGGAAGTGAGAAGGGAGATGGGGAAGAGGAATGGAAACATCACCAAAGGAGCCAGGGGAAGTCAGGAGCAGAAACACCGCGAGCTTCTTACAGAAGCCAGTCACTAAAGTGTGTCACTAACAGGGCTCAATTTTTGACAAAATGTGAAATGGGCACAATCTCTGCAGTTGGACATATGAGACAGGATTTGGCTGTGAAACCCTGGAGGAAGTCCACGTGGCTGTATGTTTATAACTGGGTTTTACTGGAAGAAATCATCCTGAGGGAAATCTTCCTATGAACTTGACTAATTCAGCTACAGTTAAAGGCTGAGGAATTACAGGGAAAGATGTTCATTCTCGTCTTTTGGGGGGATGCTGAAAGAGGCTCTGTGGGCTGAATGAGAACCTGTGCCAGAAGAAGCAGAAGGATCTCACTGGTGGGAAGATTTCTCATCATATGGTGTAAGGAAGAGATTTGCAGCACATGTCATGGTCTTTACACCTTGAGCTTTTTTAATACTCCTGCTGTAGAGCACTGGAGGGCACATACCACCAAATAAGGGAAGAGCAGCCTTCTGTGGCAGTTTCTTTTTAAGGGAATGGGCGTACTGTGTCGGGGAGTGTATGCTGTGGTGAGTAACACCACACCTAAGAGTTGGGAAAGGATTTTCAGCTGGCCAGTTCCTGCTTCTGTCCTCTCTAGCAGGTTGTTCTTTTCGTGTCATTCTCAAACATGAATGCAGGACAAACATAGACTATGGAAAGCATGGTTAGTTGTATGTGGATAAATTCTGTGTAATTAGAAGATTATTCAATTGACTCTTCGATCTGGTACTGTGTATTACAAGGTTCTGAAACTGCGTGGCAGTCACTACTTTACAAAACTGAACCAAGAGGGTAATCTATCACAGCTGTTTATTCTCACAGTGCACAAACTCTTTGTCCTGAGTTGTCACATAACTAGTGATACGAGTTGAGCTTATAATCACGTTCTTCTCTCACATGCCTCTCAGCAGGAGCCTTCTCGCAGTGGAAAGCTGAGTCTGGCAGAAATAGATTAGCTAACCTGTTTGCTGCCATATCTATCATACATACATCTGTGAAGTCCTGTACCATTATTCATTTTAAGTAATGACTGTAATTTTATTGTCTGTAATGCTGTTAGGGCTGACAGAAAAGTAGCAGAACAGTATCAGCCTTTATTCACTTATGTGAAGAAGAATGCAATTTTAAAGCAGTACTATAAAACCAGAGTGGCTTATTAGAGTATGCAATGTTACACATTCACTTGTACAAGGAGAGGACACAAATACTGTGTCATGGAACTATGCAAATGTATTTATCCACTTGAAATAGCTGGATAACTTTTTCGGTTGACAAGGAGCAAAGCAGAACAGGGGCATTGGGAACCTTAGTAGGAACATGCTTGCTTACAGAAACCTGCTTAGAAGATGACCCAGAAACTTTAGTTGCATAGGAAAAGTCTTCCCTATATCCTATCATTTCCCTGGATGTCTGGCTCCGTCTTAAATCCATACAGTGCTGAAGTGGCCACATGTGTGTTGTAGATAGGACCTAGTCCTTCTCCCTGCTGACAATACCTTTACTGGTACAATAACAACTTCTGCCCACTCTGATACTCTGAGAAAAATCTCTGCATAAAACATTTCGTGTGGGCTTACGGAAGTTTGCAACTAAAAAGCCCCTTTCTTAACTGTCCACAAAAAGCAAAAAACCTCGTTGAAATAGGATCTGTGAACCCTGTGACTCTGGTTACTCAGCACTGTTGGATGATAACATACTGCAGCTAGGAAACAGAAGTGCTTCAGATTTCCAGGACTTGTGCAGTCATGGGGCACTCTTTTACCACTTAAAGCACTTGTTTGCAAATGGTATTCTCTTCCTGCCTCCCTCCCCAGCTTCTTCCCCCTTCCTTACCCCCTCCTTCTCCCCTCCTTCCCCCCCTTTATATTCAGAACAAACCAAAAATCTCTTAAGTAATGAAGGATGATTTATAGCATCATTCTATGTAGTTTATAACAAGCAACTGCATGGTCTAGTTTAATAAATGTTACGCTGTAATCTACAGGCTTTCTTTTTCCTATTAGCTCTTCCCTTTTCTGAGCTGGGTACTGAATGAAGCTGAGGAAGCAGAACATCACAGGAAGGGAAGTAATGATGACATCTTTGGAATGTTTTTAAATTTACTCCCACAGGCTCTCGTGCTTTTGATTGCTGTTGTAAGATTCTTTTTCCATACAAGGCTTATGCATCAGCAGAAAATGCATTAAGCATTTATTGCACAATATTAAGTATTAAGTAAATGGGGTTTTTCGGGGATAATGGTGATATGTGTTTTCTTCCCTCTGTAAAAAGAGGAATTCAAGAACGAAGAAAACTCCCATAAAATACACTCATACATTCACTGGAGTCTTAATCCATACATAGATGGTATCTGTAACACAGGGATAAAAAATATAAAATACAATTCTGTACGAATTGATAGATTGGGCTATTAATTTTATAAGGTATTCCTTGTCATGAATACAGAGGAATACACACCACTGTCAGAATCCCTATGTGATACATCCAGAGATGTCTGGTATGCTTTCCATTAGAATAAGAAGCTCTGAATGCAAACCCTGACTAATTGCTGACATAAGGGGACAGCCAAGACGTGACTCAGGACTTTTCAAAACCTTTCATCCGCTTGTGAACTGTGGCTTCTCATAGTTTTATCCTTACAGGTAGTAGGTGCCCTGGTAGTCTGTTTTGCAGAGTCCTGATTAGACTTCTGGCAGGTTGCCTACACTGCTGTCACAAAATAAGTTTCCTAAACATATTTTTAATTTAGTTCTAGAATAAAAACTGTACATTGTTTTGAAAATGAAAAGAAAGTCTTATTTTTCCAGTCACCTTTATTTCACTAGAAAAGTATAAATTATCACCATAAATACAGATATCACCAGTATAAAAGTTAGATTCTCGTTTATAAAATAAATATTAAAAGACAAAGCAACATCTACCTTCAAATCCCAATACCAAGATTATTTGAATCTATGCCACAGAAACTGTTCATTCATCAGCTGTTTAGTTAAAAATTATGTTCAAAATGTAGTAAATACTACCTATTCAGTGCTTGCATTAAGTGAGTTATTACTGACTCAAACCCTGCAAAGTATTTGTTCTAACACCTACTTGGAACTATCAGACTACCCTGTCAGTACAACTCTCAATGTAGTGTAATCTGGATATGCTTTCCAGAGGGATAGCTGGTACCTGCTCCAAGAGAGTTCCTTACAAGTCACTAGTAGAGTAGTTTCAGTTTGTTTACCTTCAATTGTCTATATTCAAATATAAATAGACCAAGTTAATTTTATCCAAGAAGTGCAGAAATAATAGTAGCAATTTTGTCACATCTGAACTAACAGATCATTTCACCAGTTAATAATATTAAAAGGCAGATAAATACAGGTTTTGTTTCACAGAAACAGAATGATGTTCCTTTAGTTAGGTAAAGGACATGTATTTTTCAGAAGTAGTGTTCTTTCCCCTCACAAGTACCGTAAAGCTGTACCATAAATCTTCTGGCTCAATAAGGCCATACTGATCAAGCCAAAAGTACCTTTAGTTCACAATCCTGTTTCAGACAGGACAATAGAAGTGGCTTGGGAACAGTCTATGACAAGGGTTGAGCTCTCTGCAGAGAGACCATAACAAATTAGAGAGATGAGCAATCACCAACCATATGAAGTATAACAAGGGCAAGTGCTGGATTCCACACCTGGGACTGGGCAACCCTGGCTTTGTTTATAGACTGGGGAATGAAAGGTTGGAGAGCAGCACTGTGGAAAGAGACCTGAGGGTCCTGGTTCATGGCAAGTTGAATATGAGTCTGCGGTGCCCTGGCAGCCAGGAGGGCCAACCCTGTCCTGGGGGGCATCAGGCAAAGCATGGCCAGCTGGTCGAGGGAGGGGATTGTCCTGCTCTGCTCTGCACTAGGGTGGCCTCACCTTGAATATTGTGTGCAGTTTGGGGCACTGCAATATAAGAAAGTCACTAAGGTGTTAGAGAGCATCCAAAGGAGGGCGATGGTGAAGGGTCTTGAGGGGAAGCCATATGAGGAGCAGCTGAGGTCTGCTCAGCCTGGATAAGAAGAAACAGAGGGGAGGCCTCTTTGCCATCTTCAGCATCCTCATGAGGGGAAGCAGAGGGCAGACATTGACTCTTCACTCTCGTTTCCAGTGGCAGAACTCGAGAAAATGGCATGAAGCCAAGTCAGGGGAGGTTTAGGTTGGATATTAGGAGGTGGTTTTTCACACAGAGGGTGGTTGGGCACTGGAACAGGCTCCCAAAGGAAGTGGTCACAGCACTAAGCCTGTCTGAGTTGAAGAAGTGTTTGGACAACGTTCTCAGGCACACTGTGTGTGCCTTGGGGTATCCTACACAAGGCCAGGAGCTGAACTTGATGATCCTTGTGGGTCACTTCCAACTCAGCATATTCTACAATTCTATGATTGTATCAGATCACCAGAATGCTCCTCCAGCCTCCAGCCACTAAAATTTGGGCTTCAAAATTCCTGTTTCAGAGAGCCTAAAAAGTTCCACCCAATTATCCAATTTATGGCTTTTTGTTGTGGTGGTTTTTTTGCCTTGGTGCTGCCATTAGTGTCCACAATACTTTTTCCTTAGACACCATTAAGTGGTTGCTTTTCTCTTGCAGTTCTTACTTTCTTGCGTTTACACAGAATCACTGGTAGGACAATGGCAAGAGTGATGACTGCAATTGCAATCACTGCTATGATGATAAAGACTTCTGCTCCATATTCTGTAGGGGAGGAAAAAAGTGCAAGATTCAGTTATCAGAATCCATAATGACACAGTGCTACAAACTCTTAGCACTCGTTCCACTGAATGAAAAAAATGCTTTCTGTATTTTACAGTACCACAGAATTCAGTGTGAACTAAACACATTTTAACATGAATTTGCTGAACTGAGGTAAAGCTTTATTTCACCTGGTTCACACTAGGTTTTAATCTAGTTTAGTTAGTGCACTAAAATACCGTGCTAACACCACAAGAATAAATCAAACTGTTCCCCCTGTCCCTACATCACTTCCATCCAAGTAGGAATTTATTCTAGGTTATAAGCTAGAAAACACCAAGAGAAGAGTTTTCTATTTAAGTTGTAATTAAATTGTAATTTATCACTATTGTGATAAACAAAAATACATATTTAGATAGGGAAGTTAATCTGAGTTCATTTGCCAATTTTAGAAGAAGATTTTCTTATCTGGGGGAGAAGAAAGATACAGTACAGCAATGTGATATTATTTAAATAATATTGATGACTTTATATTGAAGAAAGTGTTATCCAGATTGTTTGTCTAAAATTTGACTGGCTGATTCGCTGACCACTCCTTAACTTATCTACCAGTAAAGAAGTCAATCTGCCAACCTCTGACCTTGTAATAGTAAAGAAAGTCTTAGTCTCACCATCTGCTTTAGGGGTAACTAAAGGTCAGTTCAAACTAAAGTCAGTGAATAGGTTTCTAGCACTCGTATGTTTTAGAGCTAATCCTTCAAGCACTTACTATGGGACCTCCTATTGGAAGAATCTGAGGGAAACAATGGTGAAAAAAAACAAAGCTGAAGGCTAGTGATGAGATCTGAAGCCTCAGTGACCGGTCATCAATTCAGACAATTTAATCAACACAGTTGAGTAAAACCCTAAAACAAACTCTAAATAGCTGAAGATGGTGGACTCTGACTTGAAGTGAGTTCTTCGAATGAGTTTCCATGTTCTGACTGTGTCTTCTAACTTACACAGTAAATGGTTTATAACAGGCATCCCAATTTAAAGACGTCTTTTTGTTAGAATGATAAAGACTGTGGTGTGACAAACGTCACACAGTACCCACCGTCGAAGACGCCCCTTTCTGCAGTGGTGCAGTGCATCACACTGGTTTGACCGTTACGGTCTTCTCTGCGGGACGGAACGAATCCCTGGACATAGAAGCAATAGTTCTTTGTGCTCTCAACGCTTACTTCAAATGTATGGCTTTTTGTTGTTGTATCTTTCTAAAAGGAAAAAAAAAAATATTTCAAGTGTCAACTCTTAAGGTAGCACAGAAATTGTGTAACTATAATACAGCTACAGAATATTAAAATTATTACAGAATGAAAACTAGAGTTAGACCTTACCTTTCCAGAACTTTGATCTTTCCAGTAGTAGAGTTTGTATTCCAGGTCATGCTGGAAAATATCTCTAATACTTTGAAAGCTTCCATTAGGAAACGTATATGGTGTAAGTGGATCTTGGATCACAACATTCAGTTCCGAACCTTTTTGTGTATAGTTCTTTATCTCTGGTTTTCCGATAACAGCTAAACAAAGATTTTTAGAATTAAAAAACTGATATCATCTTTTCTACGCAACATGCTCTTCTTTCTTCCACTCTTTATTAACTTCCCATCTCAAATCTATTCTGACTTTATGAAGCCAAAGTAATAGGGTGAAGTCCGGGGTTGTAAACAAGTATCTTCATCTAGTACACAATGTTAACAAAAGCTTTATGCCTGGATGTCTTCTCCAATATCAGCATGGCTATTGTAAGAATCTATAGAAAAAACCTTTAAGCTCAATCTAAATCTTGTTTAGGTCAATGGAACTAATCTTGAAAGGAAGTTTATAATAAGATTTAATTGGCAATCCTACTTACTCTGACTATAAGGGGTAAATTTTTCAGAAAGTGCATAAGGTGGTTCTTCAAAGTTATCCATCCCCGCGGGCATTACAGACAGTATGTGGGCTACGTAGGTCTCTTTTACATCCTTGAGCGCATCAGTAACATCACACTCTGTTTCTGTTGTCCGTATGCATTTTTTTTTAATGTCAGATGTCTGTCTGAAAAGAGCGAGAAAGAAGTGTCAACAGCTTCCAACCAGACACTTACATATTTAGATGCACTGAAAAACATTTTCCCCTTAAACTGTATAGATTTCCCTCATCCAGTAGAACAGTCTTGCAGGGGTATTAGGCTGAAAAGAAGAGAACACTTGAAGAAAACCTATTGTGTACAGCTGTATTTCACAATTCAAAGTAGAATCAAGCGAAGTAAGTATGATCCATATGACAGAAATATGTTATTGGACCCATATATGAATTAAACATTCAATTTTTTATATTAATGGATAGAAACCATAAGTAGTTCTGATTTTGCATTTTTCTGCAGTTGCAGAATTTATTTTTAAAAATATAAGATGCATAAATTACTTTGAATGTGTTATCCTTGATGCATGTGAAAACTCTTGCCTTAAGAAACATCAGTTGCTATAGGAAGCTCTATTGACACAGTTTAATGTGATAACAACTTCTCCGCATATATGTCACTTGGTTTTGCAACTATGCAGTGGCAAATGTTACTAAGAACCAGACAGTAGCAGCAAATTTCATTGCAGAATTATGATTTAAAAAATATTGACAAAAACTCTTATCTTGATTTTTAAGGAATAGAAAACATGTCCATTTACCTGAGAACTAGTAATGAGACCAGGAAAAAAGTGTTAATTTCCCATTTTACCTCCTAACAAGAAGGATTGAAAAAAAAAGTTATTACTCCATTTTTTTCCTTTTTTTTTTTTTTTGCTGGTGAATTAAGGAAAAGAAAAATTGTGTGATCTCAGCTGGAAGAGCAAGAGTGGTGACTTTTGAAATTAACAAATGAGTTTTCCTCAAAATAGATCACGTTTTATTTTCAAGAGTCACCTGAACTCCCTTCTTACTTCACCAAATTTCTTATGTCACAGATCAGTTATTGATAGTGTCACATGAGATGCTTTGAAAAGGGACAGAGATTTGATCTTTGGGATGAAACAAATGTATTCTGTAAACATACAGACATGAGAAAGCAAACATTTAAGCACACTTTGGAACAGCAACTTTTCTAAAGAGGTGCCTCTGTTGCAGAACTACACCTGATTCTACACAGATTTCAATTTTTTGCAAGCAAAACCACTGGAAAGAAACTCCAGATTCATGAATTTAATAAAATTTGTTCTGCTAAGTGTGTGCTTTTAAGTCTACTAATCTAATCACTCCCTTAAAGAATGAAAGAGCACATTCGGCCATTGCACTGATGTTTCATCCATTAGTCATGAGAGAGAGCTCTCATGCCACTTTTAGTTAGAGACAGAAGAGACTACAGTACCACTTTTTCATTAATATGTAGGAGGTTTGATGATGCATTTTCCCTTTGGGACAAATTTAATAATATTCTATGTATTAAAATGGGAGCTAAGAACAACACAGATTTATTACTGAACTTCATGGAAGTTTTTGTGCAGTTCTGAAAGGTGTGTTTAGACACTTTACATTAGCTGGCTACCTTTTATGTCCACAATATTTTATAGTTAACATAAAACATGATGACAGAGGACGTGTTGACAGAGGTAGAGGAACAAAGGTGATTTTTAGTGTTATCCAGCAAGACAAATTATTCATTTATTGTGATTCACCAATTAGAATAAAATGCAGACTCATTTATTAGACACCTCCCAAGACTGAAGACAAAAGACTCAGACCAGACACCTTGAAAAACATAAAAAAGGTGAAATTCTATCTAATACATGGTGTGTCGGACTGAGCACCAACTTCTTTGAAGTATCCTGGCCTAGAGCTCTCATGCAGCTGGCCTGCACCAAACCCCAGAACTGAAATACTGATCTCTAGCTCAACTCTCCATTTTTTAGAGTGGGCAAAACCAGAAGCCTGAACCACATATTCTTATAGTTGGATACAAAAAACTATTAACAGCTGGGTAGGGAATTCTCTTAAGTCCTAATGTTTGGGCTCTTTTCCTGTTACATTTACTGTCGAACATATTCAAACATGCTCTATTTGCGTCTTCTTCAATGGCCATTAATGGATATACCCTGGTGTTATCTACTTACCCGTGTATTTCTACAGTATAGAAGTAACCTGATGGTTTTGGCTGCCACTGTAGTATAGTTTTAAAATTGATTGAAGACCAAGTTATATTGACTGCTGTCGGTAGTGCTGCATAGCCTTTAAATACAGAAAAGAGAAAAATATCAGTCATATGATATGTAATTCCTGTTTCCCTGCAGTTGCTGTTTAGTTAAATGAAGCAGTTGCTGTTAATTGCTACTCTGAAAAGTTGTTTTGGGGGAAAAAACTCAGTCCTACCATCTGGGCTCATGCTCATCTTTACTAAAGGAATGTGTCCTGGCAGAAGTGAGAAATATGAGAAGAATATTATTTTCTGTTTTACAACTCTCAAATCGATGAATTAACTTATTTGGAATTCTGTCTAATTAGCCCTTTTTGATTCAAGACCTCTGAAGACGATACAAAAGCTTGAACATGCAGAATGTTCAAGCAGCAAATAAATGTGGTGCAGTTCACCAGGACTCTTGGCCCCCACAAGCGGATGGGAGTCCGCCGCGATGATCCACGACAGCCACCGCTGCTTCGGGGAACGGTCTGGGAGGAAGCTGGATGGGAAAACCCCTCGCGCCTCTGTAACCTCTGGAAATCCAGGGTTTAACTGAGCGATATCCTACTCGTTTTCAAATTACCACCTTCTCTATCTCTTCGGCAAGCTCGGAGCTGGGGCAAGGGAAGGAAATCTTGCAACCTCACCGCAACTGCCGACCCCCGAGGCTGCCCCCGCTCCCCAGCAGCGCCCCGGCCGTGGACAGTGAGGAACTCCCCAGAAGCCAATCCTTGGTGGCCCGAGCAGCGGCCGCCGCGGTCCCAGGGCGAGTGCCCGGGTGAGCGCCGCTGTCCCGCGGCCACAGGGCGAGTGCCGAGAGCCGCAGTCCCGGGGCCAGTGCCGCTGCCCCCCTTCCCGCGGCTCTTCTCGGGCTCCCTCGGGGACACCCCGTCCGAGGGGTCCGAGGGACCGAGTCCCGGCGCCGATCCCCCCGTCCCCTCCCCGTCCCTCTGCCCCGCCGTCCGTCACGCACCGGCGGCGGCCAGGCGGCACAGCAGGGCGCTCAGCAGCAGGGCCTGTCCCGGGGCGGAGGAGAGCAGCATCCTCGGGGAGCGGATCTGACGGGTCCCGACGGGTCTAAGGGCGATGAGTGCGGCGGGGCGGGAAGCGCTGGCTTATATCGGCAGGGAGAGGCGGGGACCGCGGCGCCTCCCGCGGGGCAGCCGGCGCGGCCGGCGGTGGGAGCGGCGGTGGGAGCGGCGGGGGCCGGCGGGACACGAAGGGGCAGGGAGTGTGGGCGGCGGAAGCGCCTGGGTTGAGCAAGCGGAGCCGGGGATCTTCGAGGAAAGCCGTGAGGAGAGGGGCCCTGAACCGCGACCCCGGACACACCTGGACGTGCCTGCAATCCGTGTCCCCCTGCCTGTTTGGTGTACCCATACATTTGTACCGCCCCTCGCTTCCCCTCTTGGAGTAGTGGTGAAACTGGACACCACTGGATAACCAGTTTCATCCACTGCCAACCTTTGGCTTGGCTGTCGAGGGGCAAACAGCACCCCAGCTCGGAAATGGCTGCTCTGTGAGGCAGCTGGTCATGCAGAAGTGATGTTGGGTTAATTAGCTTTGATCCTGTACATTCTGAAGGTCTAAATATGTCAGTCCTTGCCTCTCCATGCAGAACGTCGGACACGGGTGCTCAGCAAGATGACATGCTCTATTTCCTAAGGCCTGAGAACGTGCACCCTGTCAAGGCTCACCTGTCACACCAGACAACAAGTAAGTTTCAAGTGTTCAGGGCTCACCTCTCCCACAAACCAGGGGCCTATTAACCCTTTTCCTACAAGCTCACATTGGAAAGGTATGCAATTTTAACTGGTAACAGGGAATCTGCCTCTGACAGAGGGTTTTCTGAATCTCAGCCTTTGTGCCAGGCTCCCTGGCCCCTCTGGGATGTGTGTGGCTCTCACAGTGCTCCCTTTCTAAGCAGTTTAACCGAGCTTCGGAGCCGGAGGGGTGCGTACTGCAGTTCTGTCTAATACTCAAGCTCTAGAGGGAGCTGTGTTCGTACTGAGCTCAGGGACCTGCCTCAGGAAGGTGGGAAACAGACTATGCAGTAGAACCTGTGTCATAGTTCAGGCAGATATATACATTTACAGTCTTAAGCTGACTCTTCTTTTTATTTTGATGCTGCTTTGTACGATGCATTTGGAATATATAGGTAAGAGACTAATTGGGAAGTTTCATATTTAATTGCCTTTAATTTTCATGATTAACACATACTTAGATGCAAGCAAGCAGTTCCGTCTCATAATGCAGAATAAATGCGTATGGACCAAACTACAATATCTATTTCAACCACAGCCTGCAATTCATATAATGTGTTTCAAGGCACACCTAAACCCTGGATTTCTAAATTACCGAATCCAGCCATACACCTTCTCATTTTCCTGCCCTGCTTTTGATCAAATTTCAGCCATGTCTCTATGTAGTTGAATGCCAGCATTACATCAGCCAAAAATATTGGATGCTTTTAACCTGGTGTAGAATACAGATCCTGTGTGTCTAGCTTTTCAAGATTGTGACCTTATAAGATCACAGTTGATTTTCAGAGGACTTTACAAGGAGAAACAGTAGTCACTTGTTTAAAGAAAAGAGATGCTTATATGAAACTTTAAGATCACCTTTAGGCTTTAATTTCACCTAATTTCCTTGTAGTTCCGCCACAAAAGATAGAAAATGGGTCAGCAGGGGTTTCCAGTTTTTATGTAGGTAATCTCAGGATCCCCTTCTCTTTCTCATCCTTCTCATTACCACCTCTTCTGCCATGAACTCCCATACTTGAAATAGGTGAGGAACCATCCAGATGCTGTCCAGACTAACTGGTGTGACCACTGTTACCTTATTCCTGTTGCCAGCAAGATATTTCAGTGTTCGTTAGCACTAAGCTTTTAGATGTCCTTCTCCATGCTGCAGAATGAGGAGAGGCCACTAGTTTGCCAAAGTAAACAGTTTAAACCAGCTTACCTACCAGCTGAAGGGAGTTGTGTGGTTAGAGGAAATTGGATAACTTTACCGAGGTAACCATTCTGAGGGAATGAAGTTGAAGGGAAAATTTGAAAGATGGGGGAAAGACAGCATGCCAGTGCTGCTAGATCAGGCTGGCAAGGGAAGGGTGTGACAAAAAAGGGAGAAGTACTGAGGTGAGGAGCTGCTGCAGCCTCTGCTCTTCTTGCTCCTCTTGGCCCAACTGCTTGGCACTGCCTGGCTCCAGTGAGAGGAACCTCACAGTACCTGACATGGGCTGATGCCCCTACATGGAAGTCTGCTCAGCAACTAGTGACTTAACTGTGACATTCTGGTCGCATTTCTTGCCCACTTCATGGTATTTTAGCAGCTCATTTAACACAGAAAAATCGCACCTTATTTCAAACATATGTTGCTACATGCAAGCAAGCATTCTGCTGACATAGAGTTTTGGCAATTTGTTGAGAAACTTAGTATTTGGCTCCCATAGTGTAACGTCGAAATGTAAGCATCATCTCTGTACATGTCTCTAACCATTTTAGTCATCCTCTGCTTATTTTACAATGTGCAGAGAAAAAAATTACTCCTAAGATGAAATCCACATTTTCCTGATACAATCATCTAAATGAAAGTCAAATTAATTTATTTAAATGTTGAAATAAGTGGAACATTTCTATTGGTGGAAGATCTTCCTGTGATTTTTTAGAATATATGGGAGACATGCAATAGCACAAGCCTGGCTGCATGTTTTGGGTTAGATGACCTCTTCCACTCTGTGACATCTTCACCCTGGTGAAATGAATGGAGTCAAGGTTGTTCACCATTGGGAAGGTTTGCCAGATTACAAGCAGATTCTACAGATTTTCTTCCCTTGATATGTATGTTACAGAACCAATTCACATATTGATTATGGGAAAAGTGAGGAGAAAAACAAAACTAAATCTGTACAACTCCTTTTTCTTTTAATGAAATACATGTATCTATTTTTACTGTATGACCTACCAGGTCCCCAAACTGGTTCACTTAGAGAGAGCTACAAAATAATTCCTTGCTTAGCAAAGCAATTGCAACACTGTGTTTTCTGTACTGTCATATATAATTGTTGAAGTGTAATGCCTCAGGTGACATCAGTGACAAATTGGTTTCTTTACGCTGATCGTTTTGCAAGATTGTAAGTAAAATGTAAGTAAAATTTTGTAATACTTATTAGTGTTTTGAAATTTTGTAGTGTCACAAGACATTCATCTTCCCTGCTAATATAAAAGTCAGCAATATTGTCATGCTCAATAGTGTAAAATTTACTCGTGAGTAAGATCTGAAATCCCTGGGAGCTTTTTCCAAAATGAAATTGCTCCTGATATTTCTCTGGAATTTTAGATCTTTGTTTAATTTGTCTTAGTGACCCATATGATAGGGTAATTAATGTAATTATACAGTGAATTGTATTTAATTACAAAGTTTAGATAGACAATCTCTGAGTTGGTACCTGCTTCTTTAAATATCTCAACATTTCTCTTGCAGAGCTGCTGTCTCAAATGCCATGTTATAAATGCACCCACAGACTCACAAATACCACAGTGTAACAGTATTTTTAATTAAGAGGCTTTGTATAATGTTGTAAAATTGGCTACCAAGTTCCCTTTTTGATGCTTACTCTGTGGTAAGCAATGTCACTTAACTAGTGTAATGGAGTGAAGAATCAACATTCATACCTAAAAGTAGCTGTGTTTATTCCCGAAGTCTCCACACCAGTGAAAGCCCCAGTACGGTGAATCACTTGTGCATCCCTGATTTTCTTTTTATCTAAATAATTGTAAATGATTCTATGATTCTAAAATTACCTTGTGATTTTACAAGATCATATGTAGCTTAACTATATGTTAAGATAACAGAGTACCACTGGGATAGAACTAGTTTAAAATTTAAATCCAGTTCTGACATTATTGGATCTTCATTTCACTTTTAGAAAAAAAGTAATGAATAAGCAAAGTTGATATAAAAATTGAAATCTGCAAAAGGTGTTTCTTACAGGAGAATCACATGGACAACATGAATTTCTTGTTGACAGTAGAAATCATGAAGCAAATATTTGTGTTTTTTTCTGATATTCTGCTTTCAATATTTGTGTTGTTACCACATTAGTCATACACATATCTCTTTGTTTGTCATATTGATACTTTAAAAAGAGACACTAGCAAAAGAACAAATCTTATGTGAGTTTTTGGGTCTGGATAGGCTTTGGGATCCTGTGTGGAAATGATGCCTGCTTGGGGGAGAGGCATCCCGGGGAGGGAGGCTTTGAGCCTTTCCCACACTTGTCATCATTGCTTTGGTGTTAACTCCAAGTTTCTATTTCTTACTCACAGAACTACGTGTGATGCATTTATTATCCTTTTTGAAATTTTGTTTTGCAGCATTATTTCCTAAAACGGAATTTGACCAGCAGATTTGTATGCATTTAATTTCTGTGATCTTCAGGAACACCTTGGGGTAAATACTATTGTGTAAATGAAAATTTAAACTATGCTTTGGTTAGTATGATGCGTAGACGACTTCAGAAAGCGGATGTCGACAGCAATATCACAGCTGCGTTGAGAGGAGTGGTGGGGCACCGCTGCAGTGCTGTGTACAGCTGTGTTTGTTTACTAGTGACGCTCTCCTGCTAGAGGGCAAGCAATTACAGAAGTAATAATGAATGTCATTGAAGCGCAACAGAAATTATGGAGATAGAGACAGTAAACTGTATCGATTCCCTCTGTGCCAAGGTGCTTTTGGCTGGCCAAATCAAGCTGTTGCTTGTGATTCTGTCTGTCTTCACTTTATTCCAGGTGTTGCACCACGATTGTGAAGTAGGTTCTTGGGGTATTTAGTTTACCCCATAATATCTTAATGACATTGATTGATCTTGCAGTTCTCATGCATCTCTCTTGTAGGATTTATCTTTCCCGAATGACGCTAGACACAACTGCAACTACCAGACCTTATTTACTTAGTTTTTTTTCTCGAGCCTTGGGTTTGTGAGGAAGAGACTAAACTGAAGAAAAGGCAATATAAATGTTAAGTGACAATAAAAAGGAGGCAAGTACATTAACAGTAGCATCTTTTTTTCATATTAAATCCAGTCTCAGCTCATGACTCTTTACATTTGAGGACTGAAATAAATGTGTTTTACTAGGCAGTTATTTGTAACTGTTAGAAAAACTTATTTCCCATTCTCACCAACAGTTAAAACCCAGTGATTTTTAAATATTAGATGTGGCATATATAACTTCTCAGTGAAACTAGAGCTAGTCAAATTCAGTGTTCTTTAAAAATATTTGCTGTAAGCATGCCTTGAAGGTTAGGCAATTACATGGGTAAAATAAACAAAGCTTAAATTTGAACAAATGTGATCTCTACGCTGTCATTAAACTTAGGAACTGTGAGAGAGGAAAATGTAAACAGCACTCTGACTTTGCTATTATAATGTTTAATCCTCTTGTAAAATAGCTTTCTCTTTTGGAGTAATTTGATACAACAAAAAACATTCTGCACTAACCAGCAAAATTAAATTGAGAATTTCTTTAATATCCTGCATCTCTTTGTTTATGCTGCCTTTATCACTAACCTGGGGGGTGAGTAGATTAAAGATAACTGGAAAGTGGATCAGCTTAACTGCAGGAGAATAATTCTGGATTATATTATATATTATATATTATATATTATATATTATATATTATATATTATATATTATATATTATATATTATATATTATATATTATATATTATATATTATATATTATATATATAAGCCTGCTATACCAGTGCAGTTCATCTGTTGAACAGCCCAGGAGACTTAATTCTGAAATTATATTTCCAAAATCTGCTTATGTGTGTCAAACCCAAGGAGAGTCAATGAGCTTATCGAAAATAAATTTGACTTTTTAAAAAATATCAGAAGTTCCCAGTTAGGACTGGTGTATATAGGGAACTTTTTTTACTATCATGCATTTTGAATTACAGTCTGTGCACCAGTAAGGATGTCAGGTAGATATGGCTTTGATTCTCCAGCTTCAGGCAGTAGATTGCTGTGTCCTTTCTGTCATGCTTCTATTCCATCACAGTACCCCATTTTTCTCCTTCCTGGGGAACACTAGCTGAGTAGTGCTGCACACTGCATACTGTATGTTGCTATACCTCACTACAAGAGTCAGCATTGATTCCCTCCTTGATTGGAGGCAGCCTTTAAAATTCTGAAAGTTTTCTGTACAATGGGAAATGGTTGATTTCTAATAATTCTCATGTATGAGCCACAGTACAGTCTTTATTTTGAGCTTTCTAAGTTTCTATTGCAATTAATTAAGTGAAAAAAAATTATCATAATCACTGGAATTTAATATACTTGTGTTTCTATTTTCCTCGGAAAATGAAGCATGTCAATGATAGCTGGAATATAATATTGAATATGAATTCATAATATATTAGTTACTGTATGTGATTAAAGAAAGGCTTTTGGTCAGAGATTTTGAAAATAAATAATGGTATGTTGTTCAGAAAAATATATCTAAAGTTGTATCTTATTCTTTAGTAAAATCATAATGGAAAGAACACTACCCAAACACTACGTGTATTATCTATTTAACTTGACATAATTGCTCACAGCTTACTGAATAATTAAATATTACTGCAAAGTGACATTATTAAAAAAAATGAAACAACAGTGTAAATAAGACATAAAATTTACTAAAATTAGTATACTTATACCCCCAGTGTCAGACTTGAAATTTTGTTTTCAAGGAACAAAGAAAATAATAAAGTACATAAAAGGCTAATGCAGCACCACTGATTTAAGCATTACATTCCTGTGTGTGGAGCAATCCTCCTGCAGCAGACAGCACACAAATGCATTCTTTCACCATATCAGGGGGCTGACAAAGTGCACATCTAGTGACTGTGTGAATTGTTTTAGCAGTTAGTAAAGAAGGGAAGAGAGGAAACATCCAGTAACCAGTATTCAGCTAGAAAAGCTGTGAGGTTTGTAGCAAAGAGCTGAATGTTGAACCCTGCAAATCTCAAGGATTTTAAAATAACTACATCATTATATTTTATATTTTAATGTCTTAGGAATCGAGTTAGGGTCTTTTGTAAAGCCTAAATGCTGGCATTCCAAACTGTTAACTTTGAACATGTAGCTGTTTGATTAGCTCGGTTTAGAGCTTTGTGAGTGTATTTGAAAGGAATGTAAAGTACATAGAGGAAATATGTTCTTACGTTGAGTGTTTTCCTTAGAACAAAAACTAAAAATGAATAACATTGATCAGTCTGAATTTCTAGTTCTTTTGCCCATAAAGAATAGGTACTTCCAGATTATTCTATTAACAGCTAGATAGGCTAGGATTTTAAGTTTGAAAAACTGATTTTATTTTAGTCCGGATATCTTGTTCTTTCTCCATGACATTTAACTTCAAAATAATGTCAGACTAGTTTTTGTTTCCTGGAATCAGTCTCCATCATCTAAACCACACTGACTCCTGCTGAGACCCACAGGAACATGTTGGACTATACATCTCTTCTTTTTATAAACTCAAAACTAACTTGCATTTAGACAAACATCAGAACTATTCACTTTTTAAAAACAATAATGTAGTATAAGACAAAAGAGAAATGTAAGTTCTTATTAAATGAAAGTTTCCTACTCATTCTTTCCTACAAAACATAGTCCTGCCCTCCGTGTTTGCTCTTTTCTCCACAGTCTTTCATGGGTTGCAGTAAACTTGGCAAGTCCCTTTAGATCCTTAGAAAAAACTTCTTTTTAAACTCAGTTAGGAGAGTTGGCTTTATATTTGTTCCCTGATCTTCTCAGTAATCTCCCATTCTCTGCTTTTACTGCAGGCTTCTTCTTCTCATTCATTCTTTTTCTCCTTTTCTTTTTAGCAGAACATAACATACAAGACAAAATAAACTGCAAACATCTAATGAGATAGCATCTGTTGCACCATTAAGACAGATTGTAATTCTGCAATAAAAATTCCTTTGTAAGAAGGATTTTCCAGGTCCTCCTTATGAATAAACAGTCCCTAAACATCTTCTACATCTGGGATGATGACCTAGAAGAATTAGAGTTTGAGAATTGCCTCAAACTGTTCATTGAGAACCAGATTCTCCTGAACAGGATGCACAGAAGACATCCCTTCAAAAGAGAGGTCTAATCATCACCAAAACCCAGAAGTTATAGTGAGTAGGACAAACTGTAATTATTCTCCTCGGGCCTCTAAGTCACAATTGATTTTATTACACAGTACTTACATCTTCATTTCCAAAAATAGTTTCTAAATCACTATATGGCAAGTTATTTACTAGATGTGGTTTAAAAAAAACTAAAACCAAACCCAGCATTTTCCATCACCACATTTAAGTGGCATTTCATATTCTTTTCGTGTAACAGAAGTGCAATTCAATTCAGAATGCACGACAGAGACATACAAATTTCAGAAACATGATGCTTATCAACTTGAGAAATGACCAATTCATATGTCCTTGAGTTGTGCTCATGAAAATAAAATTCGTACTTATGTAATGAAGTTCAGTTTAACAGAGTAATAGCAGCACTTCAGCATATACAGGGTGCACTGTTTGAGAGGAGGGTTCCAAACAGGATGGCTAGATTTGTGTGTCTCCTAACTCCTCAGAAAACCAATAAGCCTAATGTTTAAACAGTATGCAAAGCAAGTATAATCTTCCCCTGTTAATCAATGCAATTTCTACTTCTTTTTCACTTTGTCTTTTGGCAAGAGGATGTAAGAAGGGAGAAGTAAATAGAATAAGGTTGGGTCTGATAAGAATGCAGAAGCATATTTACGTTCATATGGGTACAGAGATACACACAGATACAGCCCAGTATAGCTCATGCTGAATCACGTACAGGTACGTCCAACAGTTAATCTTGTTGGAGGTGGTTCCCATTTTCTAGTGCAGGTCCTATATGTAGGGGAAAAAAATGACTGTACAACTTGCATAGTTTCTGCATAGATGCCTTTGTGCCAATAAAGGTCATTGAGTACCAACTTAATAACAACTCTCTGAGCTAGCAGCATATTAGTTTTTGAAAGATATAGAAAGATTGGGAAAGATTTAGTTAGATATGCGTAGCTTTGCCCTTCCCTGTGAATAATTTGTAGCATCAATGCTAATCTTTTTCTTTATCAAATATAATGCTGTGCGATATTGCAAGACACTAAAGGTAGGTAACAGTGCGCTGATCAATTAGCAGTCTCAAGAAGGGTAAAATAGACTGTGGACCTGCTGTTGCAGTCCTTGATAGTGTTTCCACTTTCCTGCTTTTTTTTTCACGATCAGCCCTGATAAATTTTCCCAAAATGCTTTAGAAAAAAGAAGACTATATCATTATCTAGATTACCCAGTTCCAATTTTAAATATTACTCTATTTTGTTAATAACTTTGTTAGAGTTTTAAGATCTTCAAAGTATTTCAATTAAACATAAAATCTGGCTAGGCAAACTTGAACTGCATTTTTCAAACGTTTCACAGGATCCTTTTCTCCCTCTCTCCTCTTATTCTGAGAAGCATGATTGACATAGGCACTTCTTGACAAATAGCAGAAGCTTGAGCTGAGATTGCATCACCTTGGCATTTTAAAATCTCAGGAGGAATTTGAACCCTAGGTGCTGCATTTTCAAACACTTAGTACTGCCAGGCAGAGACAGACATTCAATGGGGGAGGTGAAATTCCATTAACAGAGGCTAGAATTGGTTGGATTTCAGCTTCCAAACTCATTTGATATAATATTTAAGCTCTTATGGTATAATTCTGCTTATATCCAGACTTGCTATCTTGTGTTGAGTCCAAAGCTATGACCTCAGAATCTGAAAGATTGCATCCAGTCCTTCTGTTTGTGAATATTTTACAAATTCTCAAACTCATTCAAATTCAGTAAGTGATTATTCTTTGTTACTTGTTTGAAAAGACTGACTGAATTAATTGGGAATTCATGTAGTGGTGTGTAAAATACACAACTAAAAGTTTGGATTCTTAACAAGGCTTTTGAGTTAAGCATGCACTAAGAATTTTCTCTTTCATTGGTTGTGCTAGTTCCTAAACCTTCCTATGATAAAGATTATGATACTTCCATTTTTAGGAAAGAAAGGATGTAGCACTAGGTACTGGAACTCAGACATTTTCTGAATCTTAATATGGCCTGTTTTGCCCATGAATTGACTAATGCAATGCTCAATGTTTCATCTGAAACAGGAATCTGAGGAACAAAAAATACTAGACTCACAAAAGCTGTTATGGAGTACTTGAAAGAAAGGATGGAGTCGGACATTTTCTTGGACTTAGATTCGATGGCACAGAAGAAATTTGAAGTCAAAAGAAACTAAGAGAAGTGCACAGGAAGGCACATTTTCTTGCTGCCAGAAAAGAAACAGGCAAGTTTTGTTCTGCTTCTTTGGATAATTTGCCAGTGATCAGCAGTGTAGACTCCCATTTGATAAAGGCAGGCAGAGAACCAGCTTTTATTAGTCTCTTTGGCCATCTCCCCTTTCTCTGTCTTCTGTAACTTACATTCGTAACTTGATCTAATTTAATTCTGAAAGAAAACTCTGTTCTTTAAAAACGAATGTTGCAGTTAAAAATGCTGTTAAGTTAAACTGGCACTCAGGTTAGTCTCTATAATAGCTCTACATTTTGCCTTGATCACTTGGCAAATACAGCTTGTGTTCCATATGTTTCCATAGTTGTTGCTCAGCAACTAATTCCCCTATTAGTTGTGAGGTTTAATTGCATTTACCCGGCTGAGTTCTCCATCTCCTTTCAGGTCTGTTCCACCAACTCTTCCAGTTCTCTCTCTGTCAGAGAATGCTAAAGTGTGTACTACTGAGGAAGATCAAAAACTACCTTCCATTACTAATCAGGCATAAATTCTCTCTAGATCTGAGAGAAGTTGTCAGAAGATTTTTCAATTACAACCTAGATTTATAATTTGAAGGTATGTAGTTCATAACAAGTTTGAACCTGTCAAACCTGGAACTGAGTTTTAGATCACATAGTTCTAATTTATTTGCAATCTCTATATAGTTGTGCAACTCTGTTAAAAGAACACATATTCTAATCTTATTTACACATAGCACTGAGGTATTGCTAAGTGCCATTCTCAGCTTGACAGATGAGCTTAGTGCAAAACATCTATTTCAAATGTTTTGATTTGATGCTCTGAAATTCTACAGCGCATAATGTATTTGAAGAACCAAATTATTCTGCCTTATTGTTCTCAAACTCTAGCCAACACCAGAACAGTAGTGTGAAGTGAAATGTTTTACAATAATTTGCTTTCAGAGCCAGAAATAATTAATACAAGGAAAAAATATATATTCATTACATCTTTTCTTAACTTGTTTATTTCCTGTATAGTTTACTTGCTCCAGATAAGTTAACTGTAACAGCAAGACTGGAATATGCAAACAAATATAGAGAAATCCTGTGACAAAGAAAGTTGCACAGGTTTAACTATATTAGCAAATATTTTCAGCATAAATCCAACTTCACCAGTAATCAGCACCAGAACTGTGTGCTAGATTTTTGTTTCAAAACTCTGATATTTTTTTGCTTTTCATTTGGTCTCTTTATCTGAGGCCAAGTGAACTTTTCTTTTTTGTCCCTTTTTTTTTTGGAGCAGAAATGTTGCTTGATGTATTTCCTCACATGCAGCAGCAGGTAAAAAGTGTATGAAAGACAGACACAGGATTTCTGAAGAAGAAGATGTGACATCAGAAATAGGGAAGTTTGGAAATTGTGGCTTTTCAGCACATTAGGACACTTTGTCATGCCCTAATGCAATGCTGGATCCTACTTTAACTTGATCTGTGTTAAATGCCTCTTACCATTCCCTCTTCTAATCAACATGTTCTCAGAAACTCTAGTGTCTGTGCAAACTACCTAGTACAAAGTTTTGAATACGAGATTGACAATTCTGAAGTGTTATCACACACTTTTTAATGCGTAAATGGCTATAGAACTGCGAGGCATAGAAGAAACGGGCCTGGGTTTATTAATGCCTGTGACATTTAGGAAAAAGTGTATCTAGCTAATTCAGTTTGGACTATTTTATTTTTTGCTTTTCTATGAGGAGAAATAGAAGTAGGCCACGAAGTCATATGAATGCTCTTATATTTATTGTATTGGTGACAGTTGCTTATTTGCTGCATGATTTTATTGCTTCCTTATTTTTACTTCTGTTTACAACTATTAGTCCCTGTTCTCTTTTCTTAGAAAGGCAGTTTTTAGAAGACAAAAAAGGACAACTCCCCATGAATAACATCTTGATTTATCTGGGTACTTCCAGACAGAAAAATAAACAGATATAATTTGAAGGAATAAATTTCCAAGAATATCTCCAAAAGTGATATTATACACATGTGGAATCAATATTATTTAGCATGCTTCATGGCAGTATTTAGAACATGTTATTTCTTTACTTGTTTTTGATATGTTAAAGTTTCTAGTAGTAGGCAAATGGTTAGGGGAGTTTGCTGAACTTAAATCAGGTATTGAGAAAAGTTTCTGTGTGAAAAAGCTATAAGGAAGACCTTGTTATTAATTAGGAATTTAACCATGATTTCCAAATTCCAGGGGTTTTTTTGGGCAGAAAATTCATGCAGCAGCTAGTGAACACCTTAACATTTTAGAGCTTTTTATCCTTAAAGAAATAAGTAAGTGGTGAAGCTAGCGATACAGAATCTCTCCCATGTTAAAGATGAGTCTATAGTTCATGTTACAAAAGGCATGTATTGCACTGTCTGACACTGCTTATATGAAGATTGCAATGCAGAATATGTCTTGGCCTATTTAAAGATGCACTGGCACCTCCATCAATTTTCCACACCTTTTGGAATGAAGTTGGTTGCATGTACAGTACACTTAAGTGGATTTGAAGCCATAAACAGCATTTTCAGTTTCCTGTGGGCTTCCACATAATAGGGTAAACCACAATGGTCTCTTGACCTCTACCAAGCATTTTATACCTGTCAGACAGAAAGAAGTGAAACTACTTTCTGTAAGAGATCAGATATCTGAAATTTTCGGAATGGAGAAGGTACAGTGAAAAGGGAGAGTACAGAAAAAGTGCAAAAAGGGAAGATATTTAAATCAGTGGGATGTTACTCCATTATAAAGAAAGATGTTTTTTTAAATACTTTTTTATCTAATATAATGCTAGAATTCCATATGTCTTTGCATCGATATAGTTCCCTGTGACTGAAGTTTCTTAGTATCATCTAAACAGAGGTTTAGTATCATCTAAAAAGTGGTTTAGTCTGAAGTCTGTGAAAGTTGATAAAGCTTACAGAAAATCTTTGTGATCTTGCAAGCATTTTCCACCTCTTTATGAGGCAGAGAGGTGATAATGCAGCCTTTCAGACTGTCCTCTAGGAAAATGAAGTTCTTCCAAAAAATAAATATGTAGTTTGAAATAACCAGTCACAGTCGTATAAAGATCTGTAAAACAAAAGGAGTGTTGTTGGCTTTCCCCCTACAATGGTCAAGAGAGAACTTACACTGTGGACAAGAGGGTGAATGAGCTACGCATCAGTACTTAAGTAAGTGCTTTTAAGGTTCACCTTCAATCCTAATTGTCAGCCAAGATTTCTAATTCTTCCATCTTTGCAGATAGGTAATACAGTGGTGAGATGGGCCTTATGATTCTTCATACATCATTAGGATTCCTAAGAGGTACCACGAGCAGCAAATAAGATACTAAAAGCAGTACAGTAAGTTAATAAAAGGAAACAATAATCTAATCTGCTAATGGTCAATAACTATTCCAATGACTGAAGATTTTAACAGAGCAGCCAATATAAATGGTACACTATGGCTATTACTAGATCAAGATCAAGTCCACCACTAAGCCCCTAAGCATCACATCTGCATCTATTTTGGTGAACCATGAGGGGAAAAAAAGCCTGTAAAAAGGTGCTCAGACACTTGATTTGAATGTTTTCTCCTTCTTAGCAAATAATCTTTAAAATGGTACTTGTATCAACAATTCTTTTTCTTTGAAATGAGTTAATTTAGATGTTATAATTTAGGTCTTATCTGCTCTACCAAAAGGAAAGTATTATTGCATCTATAAACCAGTCCTCTTTTTCTCTCTTTTTTTTTTTTCATCCAGTGTAACTGACAACTATAATTCTGTTTTGTGTCTTTTGATGCATATATTTCTGCTATTTCTTTATTGTTTGTCGTAGCCAGAGGATGAAACTTATTTTTTTGGTCCTTTATCTTTGCTCCATGCTAACATTTTATAAAACACTTTCTCTGATTCCTTACAGAATAACAAATGGAATCTTTAATTTAAAGATATTTAATAATGCAAATGTCTTTCTACAAAAAGAACATAGTGAAGATTATTCCAGTATATGTATGAGAGCCACAGAATTGTGTTGAAGCCTTTAGAGGTATGGTTTTGTTTGCAGCAGGGGTGGGGCTGTGTGGTGGCAAACAAGAAACTAGTGAAATAAGTGGAGTTTACACTGCAGCTACCTTACATTTGTAAGTGGCTTTATCTAATCTATACATAACTTAAAAATTTTCAGTTCTATCAACAATTATATTTTTAATGGTCCACTGTAAGGACAGAAATAGAGCAATGAGCATGCAAAATACAAAAATATAGAAAACTCCAAACCATTTAGGATTTTATGACTCTAAGATTTCTACTGACAGTGTAAAGAAGACAGAGTAAAGGCACTGATTAAAATGTAAATAACTTTTTAATCAGATGAATTTTACTTACCACTGTCATCCATCAAGTAATTTTTAGTGCAATCAAAGCTTGAGATTTGTTTCCTCTACAAAAACATTATAATTGCATTTTCAATGCTCTTCAGACTTTGTTTATCTCTACCACAACAAAAAAATCTGTATTGCCATGACTTGAAATATGAGAATAAAGGCATAGCCTATAGCTCCCATTTAACTTTCTGTCACCGCAGGATGTGCACCATGATTGTACAACATTCTTGGCTGTATCCTAAATAATCCTAGGACATCAGGCCAAAACCTCACCATACTGTAAATATGCTCAGATCAGCAGAATGTAATCAAAAGAGGATGAGCTGATCTTCCGCCAAGACAGCTAGCCAAGTAGGTAAGGATTTTAAGAAGTAGGAACATTAAAGATCTGCTAATTGTTCAGGGAACTGGAACAAGGGATAGTTATAGCCAGCCAAAGGTTGTTCTTCTCAACAAAACGTTTCCCCCCATACCAGCTTTTACACCAAGGCTCCCTGTTGTTGTTTTAAAGGATCAACTTTTTAAAGAAGTTTGTTATTTATGAACCGAAAGGAGATGACCTGTCTGCCAGTAGAAGATACATAGTACATTTCAATTCTAGATTGTAGGCTTATATTATAGATTTATCACACTTATTTCAGTTTTCTGTTGTACTCTAGTATGACCACTGTTGTAGAATTATTTTACTTACCTAAAGCAGGAATTCTTGACAGATGTGCAATGGGAATTTCAGAGTGTTGTGATTTTATTTTTTTTTTAATAGCTTAAGTTGTGCAACAATGCGTACTGGGTTACAGCCAGCCCCAGTATTTCTTATGGTGAATAATGAATTATTTGTTATATAATAGATATATTAATAAAATATTTGTCAAAACCAGTTTACTTCTTTAAGAAGCATTATCTTTAGCAGAGACTGCAATGTCACCAGATGGACAAGATTCTGAAGCGATGTTGTAAGTCTTTAATACACAAAGGATTTTACTAGTATGAGTTGAGCCTCTGTAAGGCCATGGAGAGCAGGTTAGATATAAATCTGAGCAGCAAAATTTTACAAGGTTTTGAGCTTTCAGGTTGGGGAAAAGATAACAGCACTGTAGGAAAAGAACCGTCCATGTCATCAGTTTGGGTCAGCTGCTGCCCCAAGAGCTCTGCCCCTCCAATTTACAGCTGAAAGGTTAGGGCTCAGTCATGGTAGGTTTCTTGCTTCAGTGAGCAAACTGTCACAAACTTAAATTCAATGATAACTTCAAGCATTTCACCATATTAGGAAATAGCTTCAACCAATACTGCAGTTATAGGGTTTTTGATGACTTCTGATAAATCTAAATGTTAGCCTAGATAACTTGCATCATGATTGACACTTGAAGTTCTAATCTTAGCACGCTGATAAAATAAAAAACAAAACTTTTCATCACTCTAACAGAAATTATATATTTGTAGTCAGTAAATTGCAGTCATTTGATCTGTGTGATCAAAGTGGGCTGAAGCCCAAGGAATTGCTGATCATCTGAAATAAAATACTAAAGTAGTATGACAAAAGAATGAGCTTGTGTCTCATTGCTCCCATGAGTCAAATAGACCAACATGAAATGTTTCACCTTAGTAAGATAAGAGAAATTTTACTTATTGTAATGCTGATTGGGATTCATAACCTCAGTGAGACACTTCTGGGTGTGTACTGTTGTAATAAATACACACAGGTTTCACTGAAGAGATTAAAAGCTCTTGGCACTAATAAGGGAAATGATCAACGTAGCATTTATTGCTTAATGACACTTGTGTGCTGCGTCTGCTCATAAAGTACCACCTTGCCCTTCAGTAAAAATTGCAACAGACTATTTTAGAGATAAGTATGGGTGGGTACAGAGAGCGAGTTTCTTGCACAAAGACATGTCGTGAAGTGTAGTGTGGGGACTCAACATATTTTTTTTTCCAGTGAGCTAATAATAATGTACTCCAGACAGACTAGGGCTTGTCAACTCCATGTACCCCAGCTTTCCTCATCTTGGGGGACAGGATGAGAAACAGGGTTAGTTTCAGAGCTGCAAAAAGACTGTGTAACTATAATAGACAGTGTGGTGGCAATTGCTTGATAAAATGTGGCCGAGTCACACCCTCAACACAGACCTCTATGTAAATTGTGCAGTCTAGCCCAAAACACCTGGCTGGAGTTTGCTGACTTGAGTTCATTCCTTGGTTTATTCCTTGGTGGTTTGTTTGTCGCCTATCTTCTGTTTGGTTTTTTTATAGATTAACAACAGTAGATACGTCTAGCTAGCTTCATAGTGGTATGGAAACATAAGCAGCCATACCTGCTTATATACCAAATAATTACAGAGATTTTTTTGGTCCTCAGCCTTTTATAGTCATAGGAGAATGAAGATGATTTTGTTTTTAATATAGCTTTCAGATTAGTCAAGCAGAAAGTAAAAAATGGAGTATCTAAGTATCTCATCTCTCCTTGGAGTACTTGAGACAGCCTGGTAGATAAAGAGAAAACAAATTAATCAGATGACTGGAATGATTCATTGGAAGGTCAACAAAGGCTGGTCAAAAGGAGTTAATCGGAACTTGTCCTGAAATACACTTCCGTGCAGCAATCCCCAACTTAACCAGACTAATTGTCACTAAAAAGGACTTAATGTAATCATATTGTTGATTTAATTCCTAACGTACACTGTTGCCTTTGTCTGCAGTATCTAGGGAATTACCTTTTGTCTTCAAGTATCTTCCTTTCAAAGGATTCTTCAGCATAGCCTAACTATGACCACAGCACTGAACTTTATTCATGGTAATACTTTAAAGGCATATGTTGGAAGAAGTCTAAGACTTTGTTATAATACCACTTTTCCCTTGATTTGTAGTTTCATTTTACTCCTTAGTATACTTTCCCTAAAAGCTTTGACAAAAAGGCAACAGTAAGTATACTTGCTGTGACTATAAGCTAGTGATGAATATACTGTTATACAATGTTAATAGCTGGGATGTATATAAAAAAAATTTGGAACATAGAGCTGTGGGAATTTGAGACTATTGCAGATGCCAAATCATGTAATCTTTCATAAAATGCTCAATTTCATGAGGAACATTTGGTTTGGGTTTTGATTTTTTTTCCTTATTATAGGACTGTTCTAAAGTATTACTACTCTAATAGTGACCTAATTCCTTTGAGAATCAGCCTAAAAGTACTAATAGTCACTTTGCACTCATTTGTTCTTATGCATAAATTTGGTTTTACCCTGAAGAGGTTTTTTACCTCGTCTCTTAATTTTAATGTTCTACAGGAAGAGATTAACCTCATAATTTAGGCTAAAGTTGAATGCTAATTAATCTAAATACACGCATCTGTGTGTTCAATCCACTTGTTTGCAGTATTGACTTTGTAATGTAAGGCAGGGCAGACCAGGGAGTGAGGTATGATTTCTATTCATGTGCAGTTCCACAAACATTGATAGACCTTGGAGGCATGTAAAAAAGACTGCGATAAGAATTCAGAATTTGGTCTGAACTTTCAATGTCAAAATTCAAATACATGTGTCCTTTATGAAACAGCTGAATTGTATCTACAACCAAGAAAGAACTTATTTAGGTAAAAGATAAAAAGATGTTATGACTACCTTTCTAATCTTCATAAATTCCTGAAACTTTCTCAGAGTTACAGGTGTCTTAGAGAAGTTCTTATCCTTACCTTCTTAGGTATTCTAGGGAACATCCATAGGAATTACCTGGAGAGCAGTAACATGAGAGGTCATAACATGAAAGCATTTGAAACCAAAATGTATTGGTTCTTCAGTCCTAACTTTTGCAGTTGGCTATCTGCCATCACTATGAAAATTACATCATTTCTGAAATGAGGCTAGAGAACAACTGCAAGAAGTTTCAGGAAGTTTGCAGGCTGCATGAGAAACAGCTCCTTCATTGCTTGTGATGATGTGACACTGTGAGCGGGGTCCTTTTTCAGGGGAAATTTGTTTAACTCTGAAGTTTTTTTATTTCAAGCAGTGAGGAATCCATGCTAGAGGGCCATTTGTTTACTAGTGCTGTCAACTGACTCTAGTTACTACTATGAAAAGCACTGTGGAAACTATTTTGCAAGCGGTGTAGGTAGACTATTGCTGCAAGATGCAGTCTGCTTTAAGGGCACTTGTTATACACAGAATACTCTACTGTAACCAGTGTGCTTAATTTCCTAATGATGAGAAGATGCAGAGGTCATAAAGTTTCGCTGACTCCTCAGTCTTGGAATATAGTAAGAAAAGGGGTGTGGCACTAAAAAGTGAAGTGAAATAGAAATGTGGCTGTGGATACGACTACATGTGTTAAGTGGAGTTTCTAACACTGGCTGGGGTTGAATGTGGCAGGTCACATGCAACTACTGTCTAATGAGCACAATGTGCTCAAAACCAAAGGACTTAGCAGCTCCACAAAACACAACTTGGCTACCAAAGCTGTGACCCTGCAGCTCACATTGGACAATGTTATTTTAGTGACTAAATATGGCAAAAAGCTGTTCAAATACTTAAATTAAAAATGTCAAGATATCTTTTTTTAAACTCTCTAGTGATATTGAGAGGATGAAGGCTCACTCAGA